TGGAGTTTATTTTTGTGTCTATTTGTTGTTTAAATGTCGAAAAGATTGGTTGGATGGGATCACATACAGATAGTCACAGTAAAAGCTGAGCCCATAGATATATCTAGGAGAAACAGGACTAAACACTAAAAGCAAAAAAAGCTGTTGATGACAGCAGCCCAGCTGATGCCTTCGTCCAGGTTAATCTCACAGCTCAACAGTGCATCAGACCAGATGAAGCTGCTCATATGAAAAAGTATTAAGATAACTTTAATTTAGACATCAACAAATATTGTAAAACTCAAGAAGAGAAGGCCCCCATGTCCTCCAGCCGCCTAAGCCTATAGCAGCATAAATGTGGTGATAGCTCAAGATAAGTAGGCTTGTCTTCCTTGGACTTCATTCTGGTTTACTTAAATTTATATTGTGTGTTTGATTTTTGTTCTTTATTTGATTACATTACCATCTTAAAAGTATCATGAAGGTACAACATTTAATGTTTTTAGCTTAGAAGATGTTTTTTCTTATATTTAGATTTATTGAGACTAAAAGGTTTTGGGAATTTTGTGGTGTTTTTAATTTGGTCCAGCTACTGTACCATAAAATATTTGACACAGCTCTTTATCAAACTGCTGAAAGTAATAGAAACCCAAATAGGTAACTTTTCTTTACTCAACTTACCAGAATGTTGCAAAAACTGCATGATATTAAAACAAAGCATCTGCTAAGGAAGCCTCTTAAGGAATATCCTTCACACTGCCACTAGCAGGAGTTATTGTGACAAATTTTGAACTTGTTAGAGATAATATATTTCAGATGGGAGGAGAGATGCAGTATGTTAAGGGAATTTTGCATTTTACTGACACAAGCTTTTATAAAAGATGTAGAGGGTGGATGTAAGTCTGGGAAGAAGTATTGCAACTGTAGCCTCTAACTTCTATTTGTAGTCCATCAGGGAAGTGTTCTTGGTCCTCTATCATTTAGTCTTAGTCACTCTTTGTAGCACTTCAGTAAGCAAAATAATCTATTTAGCCCCGGTCAGTATATTTAATGTTTGATAATATTAATAAAATATCATAATTTCTTCTCTTACTCAGGCTTCCAACAGTGCATCTTATATCCAGGATGCTTTCCAGCTCCTCTTGCCAATATTGGAGATTTCTCACATCCAAAGGAGAGCTGGACCATCAGAGCAGTAATATCTTCCCTCAGCTGCTTCTGTAACTGACACTATGATGGGACTGAAGCTGCCATCAGAGCTAAAAAATCCTTAGTGCTTTTATAAACGTCTTGCTGTCACACAGTGTTAATGTTTCGGTGTTTTTATGTTCTGTGCAGTAAGTGGACTTACTGAGGTCCAGCGTGCCTGGATCTGTCAGAGGATATGAGACAACAAAAAAGAAATTTCATGAAAATAAACCAGAGAAATCATTTGCTCTTTGTTATGTTAAAATGCTTTTTCAGGACACTGATCAATTACGCCCCAAAGAACTTTTTGTCAAAACATTCAGTGTGGACATAGATCAGGAATTTTAAGGAGTTTCCTGTGGCTTCAGAAAAATAAAGGTAACTTGACTGGTTTGAATGATTGGATTTTTATTTTATTTGACTGGCAACTT